GGGTAAGGACAAATGTGGGTTAAGCGATTGCCAAAAAGTATATATACGAAATTCATGCATTAAACAGTTATTTGGAAAGCTAAAAGCTCAATTTTTAAATGAGCTCCAACGTCATTTCTCCACCTAGCTATGTTTCTGTACTTACGCTTCTTTATGAGCTGTAAAGCTAAAAACTAGAGTAGAGAGAGTAGAGAATAGAGTAGAAGGCTTCATTTCAAATTCTCTAAGCTTCTCTCATTTGTTATTTGTTAGACCACCGACAATTTCGGAGTCTTATCCCTGATTTGGAATATAATAAACATTCATGCTGCAGTCGATAGTCTGATGAACAAGAAGCGAGCTAAACATACAGCCAGTCACACTCGCCTCTTGTTCATCTGTCAGCCACGTTAACACCTGCGTTACGTGACAAACCTARCGCTCAACATTGCTGGAACATTCCGAAACACACACAAATCGTATACGTAATTTTTAATGCATATTACCGCAAAACGCTGTCATCGCAGCAGGAACAGCAGGCATCACCTGCCAGGATGTCTCTGTTTTCCTTCACAAAATCCTCAGCTTGTATGTGTGTGAGAGTGTGTGTGTCGGTATGTGCACATCACATAAGTCAATTTTCAAGTAGATGTCCAACATGAATGAATAATGTGTAGTGTAGTGTAGGTAGTGTAGCCGACACGCACACATACACACACTCACACACACTTGTACGCAAATATGCTTACCGTTTTAGGGCGTTCAGTTGTGCCAAGGCAGCAACACCAATGAAAGCCGAAACACAAAAGAGGGAAAGAGATGGAAAGAAGGGAAGCCTGAAAATGAAACAGAAAGGAGGGAAAAAGTCAAGTAGAGCAAAGTAAATTTTGCTTGGAGCAGCGAGCAGCCAGCAAGCAGCAGCTGGCAGCAGCTAGCAGCGAGCAGCCACAGCATTCTCACGGAGGGAGCCATACACAGCAATGTCGCAGAAAGTTATGCCATGGCAAAGACGCTGCACACAGGACTACTAGGATATGCATAAAACTATGCTACATTGGCACTAAAACAAACAGCAAAACCGCCGCATGGGGCGTTTCAACTATGTACATGCAAATATGTGTGCCTGCGTGTCTCTATGTACGTGTGTGTGTGTGTTTCTGTGGGACAACGAAGTTGATGTAACATGCCAAGGCGAAGGTAACAATGCCAGGGATGCGCTCAATTGGCTGGAGCTGGGGTCACGACAAAGCAAGTAGCTTCAGTTCTTTGAATTTGTAAACTGGTTCTTCAAACTATGCCTGAGTACTTTTTAAGGATCAATTTATAGATATTTTAAGCACTGTTAAGAAAATTATAAATATTTTATTGAGGAAAAAATGAAATAGAAATAGAATTGAACATGA